CCACCAGAAGTTTATCAGGGGTGACCACCAGTATCTGGGGGAACGTTTGTTCACCAGAGTGCCCCAAGGGATGACAAGGTCGAACGGTCATAAACTACTGCAAGACCATGTCAGGCTGGACATAAGGAAGAATTTCTTTACTGTCCAAGCCCCCAAGGTCTGGAACAGCCTGCCATCAGAGGTGGTTCAAGCACCTACATTGAACACCTTCAAGAGGAAATTGGATGCTTATCTTGCTGGGATCCTATGACCCCAGCTGAGTTCCTGCCTTGGGTGGGGGGCTGGACTCGATGATCTTCCAAGGTCCCTTCCAGCCCTAATGTCTGTGAAATCTATGAAATCATCTGGCAGGCAGATGGGGGCCCGCAACCCTGAGAGGGCTGTGGGGGCTGTGCCAGTCCTCTGGGGGCTGCAGGCCCCTGATCTGCCTGCGAGATGAGGGAGGGAAGCCAGGTGCTGCCGCCTGGGACTGGGAAGTTGGGGAGGTGAACTGAGCCCGATCACTCAGTTCCCCTCCCCAGTGCTATGATCAGGCTATGGAAAGGAACTCAGCTCAGCTGGGCTGAGCCCCCTTCCCCAGCAGGATCAGGCTGGGGAAAGGAACTCACGATGATTGTGCTGGGGAGGGGAACTGAGTTCAGCTGTGTTGAGTTGCCTTCCCCAGCCCAATTGTAGGGCTGAGGGGAGGGGAACTGAGTGATTAGGCTCAGTTGCCTTCCCCAGCCTGATTGCAGCTTGGGCATTCCCCTGTGCTGTGATTGGCTTCCAGCAGCCCGGCTGCGGGAGGTGGGGACAGCCAGGGCTGAGCTTCTGGCTGAGCCACATGGGGCTGCAGAGCCACTGGGAGCACAGCCCTAGTTCTCCCATGTCTCCCACCACCTGGCTGCTGGCTGCTTCGAAACTTGAAACAGTTTGAAACTTATGAAATATTTCGACTAGGCTCATTATGTTTCAAAGCTGTTTCAAAGCCCTTCATTTCAATTTGATTGCACTGTTATGAGCTCAAAATGAGTCGAAACATTGTTGAATCAAAACAGCCAGCAAAATTTCACACAGCCCTACAATCAGTTGTTGCAAACTTCGGCTTTTCCTGATTTATACTTAAGGAGTCAATATTAGTACAGCTGCTGGTCACTTTAAATAGTTGAGCAAAAATGACCTATACATTTGTACTTTTAGCTTGATACACAGAACATTTTATGGTTGAAAGGTTTGTGTGATTTTTGGGACAAGAAGACAATTGCTTGTACCTTTACTTACCTTCTGTAACTGGGTTTTAAAGTCTTTTTTTTAATTTAAGAAGGATGTTAAACAAGATATGGGTAGTAAATCTGTATTAAAGTTAACATAAGTATTAAAAATGTTCACAATTCTTCAATTTCAAAATTACCCACAAATTTTCCTAATAAAAGTGGACTATTTTCAACTAAAAAGAATTCATTTTCATACCAAAAATGTATTTTGAGTGAAATTAAGCTTTAAAAAAAAACAAAAACAAAGAGGGATTCATAAATATAATGTGAATAGGTGGCATTTTAGTAGGAAAATGTCCATATTCATGAGCTTTTGGGGGGGGAATATTTTTTTAAGTTTTGCTATTACTCTAAGTAAAATTCCCCAGATACTATTTGTAGTCTGAGGCTGTTCCGATTGGGTAGGTAAAAGGTTTGCCAATACTGGCACAAGTTTCATTCTTCATGAATCCACCAGTCAGCTGCAGGCCGTAACTGATATAGTTAATGGAGACATACTACTTTTCATTTTCTAAATCTTAAGAATTTAGTACTTAGAGTGCTTTTATACAAAGTAACTAGATGATAATTCAATAAAGATAATGTAGTATGTTTCATCATAAGGTATTGGAAGAAACATTTATTCAAAACATTAAAGCAAATCTTATTTTGGTTAAAGAATTTAAAAATACCAGGCCTAAAGAGAGCACTTTCCAAACACAATTACTCATTTTGACACCAGGTGTTTTCAATTCAATAGGTATATCAGATGATAGGTAAAATGTACGTCTCGATGAAAATGAAATTATAGCTTAAATGGAATGTTTTGATAGATGTATCTTATTGTGCTTTTTTTAATAGCTACTCCAGCACCATCATGCAGTTCATGAAATTTCATATATTGCAAAGGATATCACAGATCACCGAGCATTTGGATATGTGTGTGGAAAAGAGGGAAATCATAGATTTGTGGCAATAAAAACAGCCCAGGCAGTAAGTATCAGATCATTGTAATTTTCTGTAGTTTAACTCGATTTGAAAGTTATGTCTATAATCTTGCTGTTCAAAAGGACATTGTGCAATATATTATGCTAACAGAAGTGTCTGCATAGATGTTCTTACATGGCAGATTACCAGATTACTGGGAAGAAGGGAATGTAATATACCCTTCTCAATTTTTCTTGATGTATTCTTTCTAATTAGTAATTTTTTTCTTTTCTAATTAAACTCAATACATAGACTGAATACAAATAAGTTTAGTTATGTTCATAGACTCATTTAAACAGAAAATGATAGAAACCAAATAGCTACTTTGCATAAAATCTACCCTAATTTCATTGTATTAGAAACCACTAATAAATATAAGCAATTTCTTTTATACTCATAATCATAATTATCATTAATCTGCAAATATAATTAGTTTTATAGAAATGAACCTTAGCCTGGATGCAATTTGCTAAACTAATATAAACAAGGTAGAAATTAATTCAGTGTGAAGTTCCTTCCCTTTAAAGATAAATATAACTGCTCTTTCAACAGGACAGGAGAAAAGGCCACTTTCCTGTATTAAAACTTACTTTTTTGTTTCAATAGGCTGAACCTGTAATTCTGGACTTGCGAGATCTGTTTCAGCTCATTTATGAATTGAAACAAAGGGAAGAAATGGAAAAAAAGGCACAAAAGGACAAGCAGTGTGAACAAGCAGTGTACCAGGTACCTAGAGGAGTTGAACTATGGTCAAGAAAAAGTGTGGGTCTGAGGGATGCATTTCTCCAAAACACCTCATGAGAGATGGTTAGCATTTTCAACACCTCTTATCTTCAGTGGGTGTTGAACAGTACTCAACACTCTTCTGAATCATTCTCAGCATGGACAAATGTGAAGTTAGCAGCTCTGTCTCAGAAGTAGGATTGAAACTGATGAAAACCATATAACTGCGTAAGACAAAAAACCTCAGCAAACTGAAATAATCCACTCATTTCCCATGAAAAGTATTCCTTTAAATTCAGTATGCAAATTGTAGTGAAAACCAGTGTGTGGTAGGTCAGTTTTAAGAGCAACTACTAATTTTAGTGCAGATTAAATTTCCTTCTAAATGCATCTGTTTAAATTAAATCAAACTTGCTGCAGCTTTGATTAAAAGTTATCCTGTACAGTAATGCCAACAGTATCTATAAACTAAAAAAGAAAAAATCAATTTTTCCTGTATAATAAACTGATTTTTTTTTGCTGTCCTTTAACTTCTGAATACAATTCTCATATCTGTGCTGTTTATGCTCTTTGCTTTTACTGCCTGTCCTCTTACTTTGTTGTAGACAATTTTGGAAGAAGATGTAGAAGATCCTGTATACCAGGTAATTTCTGAAGCTGCACAGACTCAGAGTTTCAGAAATGATTGCAAATATGTTCTTTTATTTTCAAACACAGCCAAACCTTGTAACAAGGTGTTGCAAAAGTTTATTGAGATATCAATTTAAAAGGAGCTATAAAAACTTCAACATAAAGCAGAATATTTACTAGAGAAAAGCTCTAAGTAATAATGCTAATATTATGACACACGAAGGAAAGCTTAAGTGCTTGTTTAAAATGTAAGCTAAAAACTGAAATAGAGTTTTCCCACAGAGCGCTCTCAGTATTTCTTACAAGAAAACTAACAAAGCAACTTACTTTGAAAACTAAAGAGGGAGTGGGAGCTTTGCTATCGACTTTTACGGGCCCAGAATTTCATCTCGACACTCAATAGTTGTGCCAAAAAAAACTGTATCGAATTGACTACAATAACCTAAGCCATGAGCAGACATTCATTTGTACAGATACAAATTCTGGGAAAGGGAGCAGTACAAATGTCCAGTCTGCAGCTGCCCCCTCTGCCCTGCTCTCCATGCCTTCTTAGTTGACCCTGGGCTAGAGAAGGCAAAGGGGGCAGTGCCTGGTCTATTCCCCCTGGTCTTCAGTGGGGGGAAATGGAGCAGTGGAAATAACTTTTTGTACCAGCCCCAAACCAGGGTCTTGGGAACTGGGGGCCCTGGGAGCAGGGCAGAGGGAGCACTGGCTTGGGGAAGGGGCTGGGAGTTGTGCCTTCCTGTCCCCTTCCCCTCCTGGACCCATCCAAGAGGGAAGGGGAGCAGCGTGGCAAAGCCCCTGCCCAGAGCAGCGGCTCCTCCACTCTGCTCCCAGTCTAAAGGAGTGGAGCAGAGGGTGCAGCAGCACAACCCCCCTGCCCGCTTCTCACTTTGGGGACACGGGGGTAAAAAGCAGGCCAGAGTCTCGCAGCGCTGCTCCCTCTACTTGGCTTTTGGTACTGGGGAATCGAGGGGATGGAGCAGTGGGGCAAAGACCCCACCTGCTCCACATACCTGAGACTGGTGTAGGAGAACATGGAGCTGTGCCCACTACACAAGTGAGAGCCTCCCTGATCCCAGTTCCCTGTATCTCCCTTCCCTCCAGTCCAGAGCCAAGCAGAGGATCTAACAGAGCTCCTGCCAGTTTCTCACACCAGGACCTCTGCAATGAGAAGCAGGCAGGGAGTAGTTGGCAGGTCTACAGAGGAGTGGGAACAACTACCCCCATGTCTTCTCCAGACCAGGGTGACCTAAGTCTCAGGCATGGAAGCCTTTCCTCTGGCTCCACTCCTTCTGGACCCCAGGAGGAGTTAAGCTAGGGGAAAATGTACAGCTGTTCAGTCTCCTCAGAGAAACTCTTGGGAGCAATTTAACCATAGTTAGTCCCAGATTATTTTTCTCTTGCTGAACAAAAAAGATTCTAATAGCATGACCTGATTCTACAATTGCAGCTAATTGCAGTTTCCAAGAATAACTCGAGATTTTGTAGGTCTCCATTTTGGCACGTTGACTTGAAACTCTTTCCAACAGCCGGATGCACAAAGAATGTGTTCAAGTCTTTGTGAAAATCTGCCCCCCTTTAGGGGACTTGCCTGAGGCACTCCAATTGCACCATCACAAGTCACTATTCGCTTTTGGAGAACTTGGCCAAGAATGATATTTTGAAAACACTTAAGCTAAAGAAGTTAAGTGAAGTGTCAGACTGTTACTGTGAAACTGGTTAGTTAAACACCAACGTGTTCTCCAAATTTGGGGCAGCTGTTTTATTCACAGCTAAAACACGTGTGGAAAACTAATGATTATGCAGCCAGAGGCATCTTGCCCAATGAAGTTTCTGGCAAAATTCTCAGTGATTTTGAGTAGGATCAAAATTGGGCATCAGGCTGTATCCCTAGTGCAAATGCCACAGGAAGTTCATCTAATGTTCATTAAAGGAGTATCAGGTCTGCTTTATTGCTCTTTCATTAAAAATAAAACAACATAACACCGTGCTTTCCAGCAAACCAGATATCCTTGTGCCAAACTATACTTTGAACTTGTTTCTTTAATGCCCTGCCTGCTTTTTTTTTTTTTAAATCTGGAATTCCAAATTGCCTTTTTCTCCTTTCTGTTTCACCTTTCCTCTTCCCTCTTTGGCTGCTGATGTAATAGTACATTGTGTTTGAGGCTGGACATGAGCCAATCCGTGAGCCTGAAACAGAAGAAAACATTTACCAGGTATAAAATTGCTACCTATTTGTTTCCATCGCACCCCATGCAAACATTTAGCCAAGCACATTTCATATGCTGGAATTCACTTTTATTAGTTTTCATTCATCACACAAATGTCTGAAATTTCATCCTCAGTCAAGCTAAATAAATAATTTCCCCAGTCTCAGCATGACTACTCTATTCATTCATTTCTCTCTTCAGCCTTCTCAAGATGTATCAACTTTATCAATTATGTAGGACACTAAACATTGTGTATTCCATACCACCCATTAAACTGTCGCTTCCTGGTTTTTTTTTCTTTTTTTGTGAAGCTTCTTTAATTGTTCTTTGAAGAAGTGGGATGGTAAATGCTGTGAAACTCCAGCTATATCAGGTCAAGTGTTTAGGATGGTATTTAGGCCAGAAGACAAAGGAGTAAAATGGGGAAGAGAAGGAAAAACAAGTAAGAGGCTGGGAATTAGTGTCCTGTAAATCCTCTAATTTGATCATTAATTTCTGGTTTATCTAAACTCCTTGATCTTTGTTGATTTTCAAATAATAATTAAAACATGGTAACTAGGCAGCTAGTCCAAGGCCTGCTAAGCCACTGAAGATACTCATATTTTCCTGCATACATAGGGTGCCCATAGACATATGGGGAGGCTGCTCCGATGCACTATAATCACAGCTCAAGTTAATGTTAATTAGCATGCTTCCAGCAGCCTCTGCGTCTTGTGTATTAGTGTCCATGCACTTCAAAATGGTGGTGGGGGCGCTTTAACGCTCATTCAGTGAGACTTCGTTAAAGCACCCCTGCCACCGTTTTGAAGTTCAGGGATGCTGCACTTTGAGACACTGTGGGAGCTTTAATTAGAGCAGGTCTTGGAGCTACTTTAATTCAGGTGCCCCCCCTCCCAAGCCCTGGAACATATGGAAAAATGCCCATAGTGTTTTCCGGTTGGAGATGAGCTGGCACATGCTGCTGAAAGCATAGTTCCACTGTAGGAAAGCAACTGCATAAAAAACAATTGCTTAATTGACATGATTGTGCTCACATTCATGAACAACTGGTGCCTCATGAGATTGGCAGGGCATTATAGTGGAAAGCAGGGACCGCCCACAGCCAGTGGCAGTGGCGGGGGGGCAGGGTTGGCAAGTGGAGACCACCCACAAATGCCACCAGCCATGGCAGTGGCAAGGGTGGGCAGCAGGTGGCGAGCAGCGATTGTCCGCAGGAGCCAGTGGCAGCTTTGGCGGCGGCCAGTCTCAGGGGGACTTGTGCTCCCCCATGCCCCACCTATGCATTGCCTATGCTCACATGCTAACTCCACTGTCAAATTAATGCAGTCAAAAGGCTTTTTAACATGTGATCATCAAAGCAGGAGAACCTATAGGTCGCTAAGAGAGGTTGAGGGTAGCTGATAAGGCTCTGAGGTCAAGAAGAATGAGGAAGAAGAAGCCTCAGAGGTACCATGAGCAGTTTCCATTCCAGAGGGGATAGAAACAAGACCATACTCAACATTTGGAGAAATTGGCCTAGAGAATGTGAGTGAAAAAAGATAGCAGTTACAAGAAGATAATGATATGGAAAAAGAGGATGGTAAACAAGTGATAATCACTTGGCTTATCTAAAAGAGCTGCTGCCACCTCTGTAAGTCACCAGTGAGTTGCTCATAGCTTCATTCAACAGCATCAGGGCATAGTTAAACGCTACCTTCCACAGGGCATGCGAGAAAGTACTGAATTTTTTTTTCACTTCTGATAAATGTATTCAATAACCTCAATAGATGAAATGTTCCCTTATACTTCACTATTTACTGGAGGTGCTACCTTGAATACAGCAAATTCTGAGATTAGCTAACTATGAATCTTATTTAGTTATCTGTTGCAGCTGACAATGATTGAAGTATCACTACAACAGATTTGCCCATGGCCACTGGCACTCTAATATCATTGCGCTTTATGATTTCCCTTGTTGCTATAAATCTTGATTTCCCACATCGTAGAGCTTACACTTGGATTACTGGAGAACGCTGTTTCTCCTACGTGGTCTTGGCTAACTCAGAACGCACCAGTCTACCATTATTAATAATATTAGCCATTTCCTTTCTTCTTTCCCAACTGTCTCTAGCTCCAAATATTTATTATTCCTGCACATTCTTATACAAACTCCTCAGTAACTTCCATTTCAAGACTCTGAAATGGCACACCCTTATTATCCCTGAATAGCTATATAAATACCACATAGACCACAGTGATGTTTTAACTTAGTGATGTCTTAACTTTGGGTCATTTCTATTCTGTCTGGCCCCCCGTAAGAAGTTTCTTGTATCTTACACAGTCTTTTATGATATTCATAGCCACACCTTTACTTTTGTTTTCTTTGGTAAGCTGGTGTACCAAGACCTTACCCCCAGGAGTAAGCAGGTTCCTGCCGAGCAATTGATTAAAGATGGAACATGACTATTAAACATGACTGTTGCAGTTCTGTTGTTTAATATGATTGTGCATGAGCCTTCCCCTATTCTATTCATTTTCTTTCTCCAATATATTATTTCAAAATTTCTCCGTCTGCTTGTTCTGTCTCCTCTGTTTCGTCTCTCATGCTATTTCTGATGTACTAGTCACTGTGAAATAAGACCAACAAGCATGTGCCAATCCTCCCACTCTGTAGTGGACGTCTCATAACATGCTCTTATGACATCTGTTTTCATGTTGGTGTGGTTTCTAATGGGCTATTTTTTTCATTATGTATTTTTTTTTTAATTTTATTTAGCACCACTGGTGTTTATTGTACTTTGGAGCCAAAGAAGAGGGCACAGTCCCTGTTCTAAGGAGTTTAGATTCCTTATTAAGATATACACTGAAATATGGGGGTAGATGAGAGGAGAGGGCAAAGGGAAGACAACAGAAATGAAGTGAAAAGGGAAAAGTAGTACTGGAAAATATTCCCAGCAGGAGCTCAGACAGTGTTGTATTATGATACGAGACAAACATGAAAATGTTTGTCTTGAATTATGTCAGAGATAGAACAGAATAATAGTACCAGGGTGGAGAAGAGTAATGGAAAATGTGCAAAGAAAGAAGTCTTGGAACAGGAAGAGAGGGAAAATGTAAAGAGGACACTGTTTCAGACATTAGAGACAATATTAATAAAGGTCCAGAAGCATGAGTTAAACTAGTTGAAATATTTCACGTGACAAGAATTTCTGATAAAAAAGTTCCCCTCCCCCACACTTCTATTTTTTAGAAAAATGGAAACTTTGTTAAAGTTGTGAATGTTTGTACTTTTATATTTTTGTTAAGCTTGCCATGATATTTTCATTAAAATTGTGTTCATAGTATCAGAAAGCTGAGGTAGAGGCTAGCCCTGTGCTCTTCAGAGCCTTGAGCTAGGGGTACGTGGAATCTGAACTTCAATGTCAACCGTAACACAACCATCAGTACTGTAAGCAGCAGGTTCAGGAAGAGAACTTGAATAAGGGAGGCCAGAAAGGAAGAGTTGGTTTTATTTATGGCAAAGGATACTTGAGGTATAGATCTGGGTGTTGAGGAAGAAAAGACAAATAGTAGAAATGTTCTAGAGCAGGGGTACAAGAGTAGGATAATGATACAGTACATAGACACCATTGTTTCTTTTAAAATACATGATGAGCAGGAGGCCACTGAGCAGGTGTGCAATGCCATTTGTGATTCCTGGAAGAGTTTATGTGGGTGGTGTTTAAGTAGATAATTTTCTCCCTCAAAAGCAGTGAAGATTGAATTTTCTCTCCCCACACCCCCACCACCTGTTTTTTTTTTCAGTGAGCAGTGTATGATTAGAACACCGAGTTGAGTGCAGTACACCTCAGGTCTCAATAATTGATATATGCATCCTTTACTTAATCAAATAACCTTGTTATGGAAGTCAGTAAAATAAGTAATGATAGGCAGCGTTGGTTTTCATTAAAGAGAAATGCCTTAATGAAGATGGTCTAACATTAGTTTCTCTAGTACTATTTGTACTTCTTTCAAGGAAGAACAAAATTAAAAGCAACTTATTAAATAAGGATTCTTGGCTTCTGATCTTACACTGAAGTATGGCCCCTGCATTGCACCTGCCACCCCTTCAGAAAAAAAGAAAAAAACATCTGTTATATAGGAGTGGGATCCAGATGTCCATTGACTTCATGAAAGTTTATACTAGACCACGTTATCTCTATCATAGGGAACATGAAAACCTCATTTCTGAACAACAGTGAAATTAGGGTTGTGAAAATTGAGATTCAGTGTTTTTCTCCTTGGGGTCATCTCCATTTAATATTATCCCCTGAATTAAATGGGATCTTCCTTGAGTTCATTCATGAAAGTGATGAAGTCGTGTTCTGAAGTTAAACTATGCCTATAAATTTGACGTTTTCCAACCTCCTACTTGAAAGATGACTGTTTTTGATTTACCATTACAGGTTCCTACCAGCCAAAAAAAGGAAGGTGTTTATGATGTGCCAAAAAGTCAACCTGTAAGTGTAAGTATTTTCCCTGTTTATATGCAGCTGAGATGGTATGTTGCACGTCTGCTTTGGTGTACATAATTTTTGTATCATATGGGATATTCCTTATAATATCACAGTGTTCACTGACCAGTTCAAATCCACCAGGATGCCTTGTTGAGCCTTTTGGTATCCTTAATATGTACTAATTTGCTGAAGACCACCTCATTCAAACATCTAAATTCCCTCTACCATTTTCATCCGCGTTCACCCTTTTCCTCCTAACCAAAACTCACAACTTGTAATGAGACATACTTGTATAGCTACTGTGCATTGGTCCATGCTAAGTGGGTGGGGACTGCATTTCCATCTTCCATATTTATCATTCAAACTGTACGGTGTATGAAAGTTTTCACGAAATGAAGGACAGCAGTGGATGCAGATACTGACAAGAGTGGAATTTAAACACAAATTAGCATTAGGAAGAGGCATGATGAGCATCCACAGAACTCTTTCCCTCTGTCCCCTGTGGTGACACTGCAGATGCAACATCTGCAGCCCTTTCAGAATCATCCTTGGCAAATACAATATGCTGATGTGCAAAGAATGCACGAGCAGCTTCAAATTAGACAGAGATAAAACATCAGGAATTTGCATAAAAATTACAGTTCTTTAAATTGAAAAGCCATAGAAAATTCCACTTAAAATTTAGGACAGAAAAGCAATTATTTTTCCAATAAAACTAACCTCTGCGGCAACTTAACATCATAATCACTATATAATTGTAGTGTAGAGATATGTATAATTGTCACTGGTTTAGACAACTGTATGCAACTCCAAAAAAGGAAATAGTCAAGGCCCTTGCTCAACAAATCCCCCAAACGAGAGAATCATTGCTGTATATATAGCACATTTCTTTCATGGTTTTTACTAGCGAAATTCTTTACTTCTGTTTGCACAGTGCAGTAAGTGGTTTGATTCATTGCCTCCTTAGTCTTATGGTTAGTCAAGCAGTTGCACCCATGGTTATAAAATGCTACCAAATCAAAATGATAATCTTTCAACATTATCTTTCCCTAAGTGAATACAGTGCAAGGTACTGGAGAATTGGCACACTTTTCCCTAAATTAATGTAGCAGAGGCTGGGGACACATAATTAAGAGGCACTGGAAGACAGAGGCTTTAATAAGATTTTGTTTGTGCTGAAGTGAGGCTTGCATTGGTTTGATTCGCATTTATATTTGGACATTAAAAGTCTGCAAAATAGTTTACTCTTGCAGGCTTGGTGGGAAAAGTGTTTTGAATAGGAGTTTGCAAGGGTATAGAAAAACAAAGGAAAACCAGTCATGTTTATTGTGTAAGCATAGGAGAATCTACATATTCGAGAGGAAGTGGATGTGTGGTAACATAGACATAACTGAGCTAGCTCAGATACAGGAAGTACTGTAGCACTGCTGAGAAGCTTGGGCACAGAGATTTCCTAATACAGTAGTGATATTTTCAGAACCCCAGACTGCATTGGCATGTACAACAATCAAAAATAAAGCTCACCTTAAACATTTTATAATAGTTCACTAGGGGGAGTGAGAGATCAGCTTGTTGTGAAGCAAATTACGATAAGACAGTTCATGCTGCATAATTAATTAAGGTGGTTGTGGGCAAGAAATAGCTATACATTTTTTGGAGTGCAGTGTTGGAATGTCCTCTGTGAACGTTTCTAATTGGAACAATGCTGGTACACTCTTTTGGCCTATTGATGGCATTTCAGATTTCATGGTCAGATTCTGCTCTGTGCGCCAGTTATGTGAAAGAATGTACAATATACTTGCTAGTATGTTTGCAAACACCTGTGCATTTAGACTGCTCTGGTAAACAGCATGATTTTATTAACATGCTGGCCTCTAGCTTCAGCTTGTAGAATTGATATACAGTAAAAGTTCTGTTATCCGGCATCTTACAAGTTGGCATGCTTCACAAACCGGCATGCCGGCTTGTAAGATAAAGTGAAACTGGAAGTTCCCACTGTGGCACTTCCGGTTTCTCTGAGCCCCCATGGCTCGGGGCAAAGCAGCCTGCGCTGCCAAGCCCCCACAGCCCAGGGGCATAACAGGCTGTGCAGGGCTGTACGGGATCCAACTCTCTGTCAGCGGCAATGTTGCGGGAGAGGCAGAGGGATGCCCCAGACGCGGCATGAGAAGTGGCGGCCAGGGTCGTTCAATTAACCGGCATATTTTGTTATCGAGCATCCCCCGTTCCCAGGGATGCCAGATAACAGAGCTTTTACTGTACCTCTGTTCTCATCTCTATGAAGTTAGTTATAAACTTTGTTTCACTAAAATTAGAAATGATTAGATCCCCACAGCCAAAGTGCTACTGCGTACTTTACCTTAAAGTGGAAAAGAAGTAAAAAAAGAGGCATTAACTGAGTATAAGCATCTGTGATCGTGTCTCACCTTTCTATTGGTATATAAAATGGAAAACTGAAGCAGTTGTTAAATTTATGTAATATTCAACTTCCCATCTGGTTTTATTACTCATCCTTCTGCATGCGAGACTTTGTCATTGAGACACTTGGTATCATTTTTTTCAATTTATTGCTGTCCCTATTATATAAACCTCTAAAATTCAATTTGTGCCTAAATTACTGAGCAGCCTATACCTGATTTAGACATACAAGGACACTTTCTTTATTAGTAGACCTTGCTTCCATTAATTTCTTAAAGGCTGAAAGAGAGGAATACTTCTGACTTCTCATACATTTTTGGCATTGTGGATTCCCTCTTCTGACTTTATACACACCACTCCACAAAAATGCACTAGATTTTGCTGCCTCTAATTGGGTTGGCTAGATAGTCTAGACAACAATTCATTTCCAAATTCCAATAGTTTTTTTTTATTGTGGTTATTTAACTGAAAAGCAGTGATTGTTAGAACATGTGCTTGAAAGGCACATCTCCCTTGGTTTGTTCAGTTTTGCTTCAGACAGTTCTGTGTGACTTTATACAAGTCACGTAAGCTAAAGTTTTCAAAAGTGAGATAGGTGCATGAGTCATGTTTTTTAAATTCATGTAGACACTTTAGTGAACCTAAATTTCATTAATATGTAATTTGGATTGCTATGCATTTGTCATCCTAGCTGAACAAGGATTATGATGACAACCTGATGGTGGTTTCATAAAGCTTAATTAATTATTGTTGTTTAGACTTTGAGACAACCATAATAAAACAATATACTATGATAATACTTCAGTAGCATCTGTGGCGAGCCAGTAGGGGGCGCTCCTGTGCTGAGCCACCTACCTCACTGCACCTGACCACCTACTAAGCTCCAAGTGCCTCCCCAGGTGCAACTCACATCTAGCCAACCCCCTTGCCAGAGCACACCCGCCAGCCTAGGGGTACTGCTGCCAACACCCGGGGATCTAGTCTGTCTATGGCCCTGTGTCCCATGAGGTACACAGGCCTTGTAGACCTTGAGGATACTTAACCCACTGTGAAAAATTGGGGTGCTTCCTCTAGCCTAAAGCACAAAAAGTAGCTTCCCTTAGTCAAAGCAAGGGGGCACCAAGTCATAGCCCAGTCCCTCTCCCAGCCAGTGCACCACACTATGTATAGTGAAGAACTTTATTGGTTAAAGAGGGAAGGCTTGGGGAATGGTGCAGGTTAAAGAAGAATCAAACAACAACCTTAGAGCAAACAGGGTGGCTAAGTAGCCATTGAGCATGCATCTATATCACAGTAAGCTATATATCAAGGTAGGTTTCAGGTAAGTACCTCACAAATATCATCCAGAGGCTGATTGAGCTTTCCTCTGGAGGCAGGAAGTTCAGGGTGTGTCACTGAGTTTCCACAGAGATACCCATCTCTCTGCCTGGTCAATTACTCACATGTCCCCCCTTCCCCCCTCGAAAAAATGCCTTCCCTCCCCTCCAGGAAGAAGGAAGCTCTTAAATAAACTTTTCTGACCACACCTGCCAGGTCCAATCAGGGCAGGTGTTGTTTAAGGCTAACCAGCCAATTTAAAAAGCATCACTGGTCAACTCAGAGGGTGACAGCTCTCTAGTCCCTGCCCCTCTGCCATGAGGTCAGTGCTTAAAATAATGAAGAGAGGTAGAGCCACCTGGTCCAAATCACATTGGTAGAGCCGGTTGCTTAACAACTGGAGTGATAGACTGGTAAGAAGACAATGACAAAGAAAAAAACTGGTAAAAGAGACATGGGTGAGACTGGGATGGAAATTCTTTGCAACATCTTCTGTCAGAAGATAACAGTGTGCTTTATAAGATCAAGCCTCATGGCATCTACATGATCTGGGTGTCATTAGCCCCAATTAAAAATGGTGAAAATGAAACACTATGAGAAGTGCTGATGTTCTTAAACTCACAGTAGGACAGAAGAAGTGTCATTAGGACCAGGTATAGCCATTACACATAAACCAGCATAAGTGACTAAAAACCAGATGACACCCATAACAGAATAGAAATTTGGGAAACATAGACTGGTATAAAAATGGTAGAATCCAGTCCAGGATAGACCTGGATTGATGAGGTATCAGACTTAATCGATTTAGGTTAGACGAGTCTAACGAACTTCTGTACCAGATCCCCTATCAGTTTACATTAGGTCACTGTCCTCCAGCATCCTAGGTGCCTTTGTGGCAGACCACCCTCCCCCACCAGCCCCCCTATACAAGGAGATATGCTAGCATTTGCCAGGTGCTTGGCTGCTCAAGGCAGTCACAGGTCTAAGCCAGCACAGATATAGACAGGTGGCTAGAGAGCAGGGAAGGGAGGCTTGCACCAGGTGGTGTAGACAAGTTTGCTTCATAGAAGGATTGGGCCCCTTGGAGCTCGGCACCAGCAGCAGCGAGCAGGATGGGCCCGGCAGCTCAGTAGGCTTGTGCCGGGCAGTGCGGACAGGGGTGCTCTGTAGAAGGAAGGATCAGGCCCCTCCACTGCCGCTGGTGCTGAGCTCTGAGGGGTCTAGTCTTTCCTTCTAGTAAGTGCCCCCATTCATGCTGCATGACGCAAGCCTCA